TAGTAAAGACACTCACTGAACTAAGGTCCTCTTTAAGAGGAGTGTCATTTGATAAAGAACGTTATTTTGACCAACCAATTATATAATGATATTAAATAGATATTATTGTCTTTTATTACACCCATTTTGAAATCATTGGTGGTCCTTGTGATCTTATTGGCTCTAATTGGTACGATTTATTCACGAATAGCACCATTTTTTTGCTTTAAATCGCAACTTTTTGGTTAATTAGTCTCAATACATTGTTCCAATAGTAAAACTACAGAAATTGGATAATCTGTCTCAATTGGTCGAAGTAGCTCACATGGTCAAACTAGCTGTTAATGATTAAACTGAACAAAACGGATAACTAGCTCGATCAGTTGAACTGCACAGTCGAGACAATTTAGCTGAAATGTTTCAAGAGGTCGAACAGTCAAAGGTCAACTAAGAAAAATTGCATCTTAACTGGTTGGAGTACTCAAAATGGTCAAATTAACTCCAATAATTAAATGCCACAATTTAGCTAATTTTCTTAAAGTATTTAAAACAGTCAAACTATTTAGCTCATTTCGTAGAGCGCTGCACTGGTATTGCAGAGGTCATAGGTTCAAATACTGCACGGGCCTGAATTTTTTTCAAGTCCTATTTGCAGCTACTAGCTTAGGAGTGTTCTTAGCGGCGAGGATCTCTTAAAATTCGTAATTAAGATAAATTGTGCGATTTCTGCAGTTTAACTGTCCTACCTACTTTGACTATTTAACCAATTAAGCTTGATTGTGCAGTTGGTGTAGTTGATGATATCAAGCTAGTTATGCATTGTTTCCAGTTAAACAAATTAACCTATTTTGAGCATTTGAACTACATCAACCATTTGAGATAGATAGAGCAGTTTGTGCACTCTTGCTCTTTTCGCTAGTTTCATTATTGAGCCAGTTCAACCAGCTGAACTAGATTGAGGACTTTATGCTAATGAACTTTTGAAGCTAGTTATGCATTTTGTCCTCTTGAAAAAAATAAGATGGTTTGACCGTTTAAACTAGTTCAACGAGTTAAGGTAGATTGTGCAATTTATACTGTTTGACTCTTTTTGATAGTTGTATTATCTGGTAAAATAGTTAAACTAGCAAAGATAGCTAAATACACAAACTTAACAATTCTATCTCCGTTGGCTGCAGCAGGTCAAATAATTAAACTAGCTTAAAAGGTTTAACCAGACAAAATGCGTAACTAGGTGAAATAGTTCAAATGGCAAAATAGTCAAACTACTGCAAAAAGTATAACTGCACAGCCTACAGAATCTATGTCAAGTTGTTAGATTACTTCAAATGGTCAATCAAGCTGAAATTGTTCGAATGGACAAAATTCAAAACTAGCTGAAATGGCTAGACTGGACAAAACGCATAAGTAGTTCAAATGGCTCAACCGGCTAAATATCAATCGAGCGATAACAGTTCATCCATTTGAGAGTTTTTTTCTATTTAAGTGCATGAACAACAAAAACTCACACAAAAAATAAACTTTCAACGTGTTTATTACAAAAAGTTTATTATTACCAAAAAAGTTTATTATTACAAGAAGTTAATTACAAAAAGCAAGGGCAAAAGAAAAAACCTAAGCGAAATTTACAAAAAGCAAGGAAAAAAGCAAATGCAAAAGAAAAAAACCTAAGCGAAATTTACAAAAAGCAAGGAAAAAAGCAAATGCGAAAGAAAAAACCTTAGTTAAATTTACAGCAGGCAAGGAAAAAGGCAAGGGCAAAAGAAAAACCTTAGCAAAATTTACAAAGGGCAACGACGAAAAAAAAAAACCTAAGGAATGGCCAGTAAATTTTCTAAGACAAATCGAAACCTTTGAATGGCTCCACGTTTGTTCTGGGCCAAGAATCTCGAGACTCTACGATTCTCATCTCGATGAATTGTGACCAGATACAATCTACTATCAGCTCGTACTAACGTAACGTTCTCCAACATTCTTTCCTGGATAAATTGAAGGAAGAAAGCGTCTCTTTCGGCGGGGATTCTTTCACTCCACGCGTAGTGGAGATAGGCATTGTGGCGATGGGCTGCCACCCAATTGAACTGCCCCCTTTCTGGTGCCGGGAATCTTTCAGGCCTGTTGGCTAAGGCTTCCAAGACTGTCATAGGAGGTTCTACTCTACAAAATAGACATTAAGGCTGTAGATGCCTTTGCTGCTGCGACTGGTACCAGTCCATCAAACAGGAGGTGTGAATCACCTGCTGGCAGCAGGGCGTTTCTTCATCACAGGCAATTAAACAAATAGTGCAGGCTTGATCTTCGGTTCCTGAAAGAAATAAAGTGAGACTTAGGTCTTTCCATACTTCACTAGTTGATGATTATGAAAACGGAAAAAGATTCGAGTACGACACGAACTTACCGTGCGGTGCTTGCACTCCAATCATTTTGCAACATCAACGAAATGTGATTAAATTCTTCGTCTACGAAACGTTCTTTTACGTTCGGTCAAAATCCCAAAGGGCCTTTTTCTTGAGCTTTTGTGAATATCACATTGTGTCTGTAAGTGTCTGTTTGGTCCCAAAGGCCTTTTTCTTGAGCGTTTTGTAAATATCACACGGTGTGGATAGGTGAATCTGTATGTGTGTAAGCGTCTGTTTGGTCCCAAAGGGTCTTTTCTGCTTGAGCGTCAGTCACGTTCGGGCTCTTTGCCTGATCAAAGGTCCATGCTATTAAAAGGTAAGTTTCTTTGAATACAATTTACAATGAAAGAAAGAAAAACGCTGCTTAATCAATACAGCCTCTTTTGCTCAATTAAAGAAAAGGTCCATGCTATTCAAAGGTAAGTTTCTTTGAATACAATTTACAATGAAGGAACGAACAACTGTGCTTAATCGATACAGCCTCTTTCGCTCAATTAAAGAATGAGTCCTTGCTCTTCAAAGGAAAGTTAATTAAGAAACGAACAGCGCATTACAGTATACAAACTAAGAAACATTTGAAATTGTAATCACAAAACTTGTTTTTTGGTGCTTTTTTACTTACTTTGAAACGATACTCATACTATAAGATACTTGCCATCTGAAAATTCACTAGCACCATTCATTATCACAATTCTTTTCTTCAACATAGCAACAAGTTGTAATGGAGGAAGGAACGAACAACTCTTTGCTTAATCAATACAGCCTCTTTTACTCAATTAAAGAAAGAGTCCATGCTATTCAAAGGTAACAATATTGCCTCTTTTATTCAATTAAGGAAAAGGTCCATGCTATTCAAAGGTGAGTTTTTTTATGAAGCGTCGGTCACGTTCGGACTCTTGGCTGAATATTTTGTTGTGCATAATACGATTGTTGATTAAATATTTGAGTGAGTATATGTGCATTTATGCGTGTGTATTTAAACCCATCGCAACCATTTTTCCAAGTGAAAACATTTTTGCAATCTTGCCCATACATGCCCTCCCTTCCTCAAACTTGCCCAACGAATACAAAAGAAACCCTCTATTCCCCTGAGTATTCACCTTCGATTTCAATACAAAAAAACAATACATTCTAAACGCACAATTTATTTCGAACACGCATGTGAGAGACCATCATCAGGGCAAAGCTAAAATTTGTCGAAGAGTTGAGTGATGGAGAGTTATGAAAGGTTTTAGAAGACATCGAGTCGAAAATGGTTAATGAGATGAGTGATGAGGAATTGTTGAAGGCTGTGAAATGTATCGAATCACTGCTCTTTGAATTCGAGTTTTGGACCGTGGGGCCGCGTAAACGTTGGAAGAAAAATGTGGTGGCGAAACAACGGTTTACAGCACGCTTGAAAGAATTATGCCAACCTTCACCAAATGATAATGTTGGCGTTTCAATCACTCATGCATTAGAACGTGCGATTGCTCAGCAAATCCAAAACCAACCAGATATTCAGCCACATCACACACTTCATTTTAACATGCAAGCCGAAGGCTACATGCACGTATTTCAATCTACTACATTTTCCTTGACAGAGTTTCAACAAGGCAGTGAACGAATGCAAACATATTTGCAAAGTTTAGCGAATAAACTAAACTCTGGAGGAAACACCAACACCAATTTTGAAACCGAACTTTGATCCGTACCTCGCCCGCCGGTAGTGGCAGAGGAAAAGAAAGATCCGTAGGAAGAAGAAATGTGGAAGCGTTTTTTAAAGCTTAACGAAGTGTCATACAAATCAAGAATACAAATGAATTATGCTGTGGGCGAGCGATCATCACGATCGTCACAATGAAAGCACGTTTGCATAAAGGTGACAATGTGGATAGAAGACACCTGTATGAAAATTTGCGTGACGGTTATACTGTGCAAGGTATTCAAGCCAAAGAACTCCATTGTTTGGCTGGTGTTCCCGAAGGACCGTGTGGATTACAAGAATTGGAAATGTATCAGAAAGCTTTGAGTCCTGAGTACCAGATTGTTGTCTTAACTGTAGATAAACCGCACATGACCACTTACAAAGGACAACCTATGGCCGACAAGAAAATTCTACTCCTTCAAGTCGATCAGCATTATCATGGTTGTACTTCGTATGGAGGATTTCTAAACAAATCCTATTTCTGTTTTGATTGCGAAAAAGGATTTGATCATGACGACTTGGCACGTCATCCCTGTCAAGGCCGAAAATGTACTGCCTGTCATCGAAAAGATTGTCCCGATTATGTGCACCACAAAACACCGGAACTGATGTGTGATAAATGTCATCGTGACTTCTTCATAGCAGATTGTTATCGGGATCACAAAAAGTCATCCAACAAAGACAAGAAAACCATGTGTGACATTTTCACCAAATATACTGAATGCTGCAAAATCATCGAACACCCCTGGAATAAGAAAAACAAAGGAGGAAAAAAACACCAATGCGAAGTCACTCAATGTCCCATATGCCAAGAAGACGTTGATATCAGAACCCACAAATGTTACATTCCACCTGCCGAAGAAGAGGAACGACCTCGACACTCTAAAGAAGAATGAAATGCTTGCATCAAACGATTACAGCGTCAAGGCCTCCGTATGTCAGCAATGGACCCTGATGAATTAGATTTCAAAGATCTACCCATATTTGTTTATGCCGATAACGAAGCGATGCAATCAGCCAACAGTGAACATCAACCTATTATGGTATGTTGTGAGACCGATCAGGAGAACCATACACATGTATTTTACGGCAAACGTTGTTCTCAGGACTTTCTAGAATTTCTAGATCAATTGACTATCAATGAGGACGAATTCGAACGACCTGTCATTGTCATGTTTCACAACCTGAAAGGTTATGACATTATGTTTATCCTACAAGAACTGTACAATCAACATCGTGTGGTGGAAAATCAAGTCTTTGTCGGCATCTAAGTCCTTTCCGTCACATCTGACCCTATCACCCCAAAGGACTCTTTTTGTTTTCTACCCTTTTCATTAGCTTCATTTCCTAAAGCTTTTGAATTGTTAGAACTCAAAAAAGGATTTTTTCCACATCTGTTTAACACACCCGAAAACCAATCTTATGTCGGACCGATCCCACCCAGCGACACATACGATCCTGACGGTATGAATCATGACAAACCCGAAGAATTTCTAAATTGGTATCAAGACCAGATGCGATGTCATGTGGGATACAATCTACGCCTGAAGTGGAAGAGTACTGCATTTCTGACATCAAATCATTGAAAGCAGGTTGCCAAAAATTTCGAGAAGAATTTTCTCAAGAGGCGCAATTCGATCCTATGGAACAATGTTGTCATAAATTATGTAATTATGACGTCACAATGCTTGCGATGTACTTCTAAGTTATGAATAAAACAACACAGCTGTCTTGACCATCGCGTGATACTTCGTAGTTACAATAGTTGTAACAAATGTATCACAATTGCGAGTGCCTGTAATTTGTATTGGCGAAGACATCATCTGAGTGCTGATTGTATTGCTGTGGAACCAGCGTGTGGATGGTATGGTGCTCGTAATAATCAATCGTTGAAAGCTCTGAAATGATTGAAATGGGTGGAACATACACTTCGAGAAGAAGAATGCGACAGTGGTTTACCCGCCAGAACAGAAGATCGTGTGACGCATGCAGGGAATCGCGGGGAACACGCTATCGTGACACTCACGCATGTGTGTTACGTGGATGGTTTCGACCCTGTGACCCAGACCGTGTACAAATTTCATGGCTGTGTATGGCATGGTTGTCCTCGCTGCCATCCCAACTGCAGATTAGTTCCTAGAGTGCATCTAGACTGTTCTATGGAAGAAGTCTATGACGCGACCTGTGCCAAAACCGCTTTGTTATGCTCGATGGGTTTTACCTTGGTGGAAATATGGGAATGTTTTTGGGATGACCTCTCCAAACACGACCCGCAACTGATACAGTTTCTTCACACCTTGGAAATTGTAGAACCCCTAGATCTGCATCATGCATTTTACGGTGGAAGGACCGGCGCTACATGTTTGTACCACAAGACCGATGAAGCCCAAGGAGAAAAAGTACATTACATCGATGTCACTTCTGATTATCTGTGGGTGAACAAATACGAAACTTATTCCGTAGGACATCCACAGACTTTAACGAGTCCTCAGATCACTGATCTATCAGACTGTTATGGCATCACCAAAGTGGATATTGTACCACCAGAAGAATTGTTCAATCCTGTCTTACCCTATTGAAGTGGAGGAAAATTGACTTTTCAGTTATGCCGTACCTGTGTGGAACAACAACAAGCGAAACCGATGCTTGACCGTCAACACCGATCAAGAACGCCTCATCTGCAGTACGTGGTGTACACCCGAGCCATGCAAAAAGGGTACTGAATTGTGAAAATTCATGAAATCTGGTATTTTCCTGAAGACCAATGCATCGAAGGATTGTTTACCAGGTATGTGGATACATGGCTGAAAATGAAACAAGGAGGTGCGGCGGCGAGTACTGTCAAAAGAATATTACGGCAGGGTCCCACCACAACAGACAAATTCGCCAAAGGTTTAAGCATGTTCCTATTGGGTCCATCTCCATCGTTCGATGCCTTAGGTAGACTTTTGGCCAAACAAGTGTTTAAAGGTGTAAAAGACAATGTCGAACATTATCGCAAGAGAAAAAACACACGGACACGCTAGTTGTAATCAGTAACAGTTTGTATTAATTAATAAACAAGTTTTGTTATTACAATTTCAATTGTTTCCTAGTTTGTATAATGTAACGGGCCAGGTGTTCCATCATTGATTTCTTGCCAGGAAGACTTTTAATAGAGGCTACCATCTTATCGTTGGCTTTCCATTTATCCTCTAGACTCTTGGCCTTAGAGTAGTCGATGTCATGCAGTCTGGCAATGCAATCCAAATGATCGATGCCCTGATCCCCTCGATCCCAGCGTTTTTTTCAAAAATGTGCCTGGTCCAAAGAATTGATAACGTTTCTTTTTAGATAAGGAATAAGGATGAAATTCCACTCCAAACTTTGCAATCCAGTTTTGAATGTCAAATTTGCCTCCTCTCTGCCTTTTTTTCGGTGGAGCCTTTCTTTTGGTTCTTTTTTTCTTAGAACTCCTCATGGTCTTTGTCCGGTTGTCTTCTCAAGGGTTTTCGTAAAGTGGCCTCTCCGCCTTCTTTTAACCAATCCAATTCCATCTTGCGTTTGACTTTGGCGGGTTGTTTACCCTTTTTTATACTCTTACAGGAGGTTTCTTATTGCTCTCGATAATCATCTATTAGAGATCGAAAGTTTGAAGGAGGAGGCCTTTTCTTCATAGATGAGGTGCCAGGTGTGGGTGAGACTCATTTCTTTATGCGCGCTGGTATTTTAGAGGTTCCAGGAGCGGGAATTTCCTTCTTGGGTGTCTTGAGGGGCGCAATTTCATCTTGCAGTTTTTTCTTCTGTTTCTTTGCCATGCGTTTGAGTAAATTTTCCACAATTCCTTCTGTCATGGCACTTTCTTCAGACTCTACATCTGCCAAATCGGCCGTGGGTACACTTGGAATATCTCTTAATCGTTTCGTCAATCGTCTACGTTCTTGTAACATTTCTCTAGTCTGTTGATTCGCTATAGCGTCAGGCATCTTTGGATTGTTTACAATAATTTGCTCTTCGGCAGCGACACGACCTGCTTTGTTTAGTAAGGCACTGTCCGTAATTTGCCCTTTGTAATATTGAACGAGTCGTTGGAATTGTTCGGGCTTCACCATGAGGTATTCTTCAGTCATCTACGACGTTGCGTGGTTCTTGATAATATTTTTCCAATAACGTCTCGTACGCCTTTCTCCAGTACTCGATTTCGTGTTTACTCTCGTCGACCGAACGCACGCATTGAGCGCAGTATTGATCGTATCTATTTATGTCGCTTTTGCAATCCTCACAGTGAATCTTATACAAGAGCGTCAGATATCTGGTGCTTTCAAAAGCAGACGAATTCTGCCAATGTTTGATTTGCGTCTCAAGAAACTTTAGACGTTCTTGCGTGTCCGTTCTCGAATGTAATCGTTCTGCGCATTCTGCACAAAGTTCCATCGTTTCACCGTCGTGTAAATCTTCCACCTCTTTCTGTCGACTCAGACATTGTTTGCAATACAATTTCTTTTCGAGATTTATAGCCTTCTTACGCCAATAGTCGCGATTCTTTTCCATTTTATGACTACTCTCTTTCCATTCTTCTACCGATTCGTTAACCTCGGTTAACAAATGCGTCAGAGCACTCAAAGTCTGACAACTCATGATTGAAAACAGTTACAGTACGCTTCGTGTAGACCTTGCCAAAAGCCAGAGCATTTCTGATTCATCAAATGAAAGTAGTATAGGGCGTCTCCATAGGAAACAAAGGGATGCCGCCATCAGGTAGCATAAATAACAAAGGATTCAAGATGGCGTCTAAATCCCATGGGGAGGATTCAAGATGGCGTCTAAGTCCCTTAGGGAAGATTCAAGATGGCGGCGGAGACTTCATCGAAGATGACATCATTCAAGATGGCGGTTTAAGATATTCATAATATGAGGGTGTAGGAGGAGTAAAAATTAGTTCACGGCCTCCTTCAGAGGAGTGTAACGTGTACCTGTAATTTCATGTAATAAATAAGTCATTATAATGAGATATATATATGTCAAGACCTCACTTCTCATCCATGTGGGAGATGTTACAACTCTTTACGCATGCACAGTGTGAGATGTCTGCCAAGCATTTTACGCATGGGCAGTGTAAGATGGCTGTTCAAGGCTGCCTGAGGCTGCCCAAGGCTACCCTAACCTCTAGGGGATTACATGAAGGCTGCCTGAGGCTGCCCAAGGCTTCCCTAATCTCTAGGGGATTACATGAAGGCTGTCCGAGGCTGCCTTAATCTCTAGAGAACTAAAAAAAATTCACAAGATGTGTCAATACGTTCCAACCCGGGGTCTTCTTTGGCATATCGATGACATTTTAGACACCATAGAGAATTAAGCAGACGACGACGATCTGAGACGAATGTTAAAAGAAGATTACACACTACCTCCTAACGAAAACGATCCCGAGTATGTAGAAAAGAGAAATCGTGTCATGGATGCATTGATGGATTTCATCAAGCTTTTAAAAGAAAGAGAAATGAATCGCGAAACCTGCTATTGTCCATATTGTCAAGATCATTAAACCAATCAGATTGTAAATAGATATGTAATAAAGTGTTTGAAAAGAGTTCAAGTCTCATTTCTTAGTGACGATGGCTTTCCGCGAGGATTTAGAGCGCGTCTTAGAGTATACGAGTCCCGTTTGTCCACATACTGTGTATACATTTCATGTGAATGACGAAAAAAAGACAGGTCGCGCGAGTGTGTTACTTCACCACATTTTGGGGTATGAACAAACATCGACAGAAGAAGGGAGATACTGGGTCATATCGCAGGTGAAAGACTATGACAATGTGTGGATGTTTTTAAACGTATTACGTCTTGTCATGGAGAAACTAGATCACTTAACGGCTATGAAAACTACCCAAGATTACATATGGTATCGCCAAGAAGGTATTCACAATCGCATTTTGGAAAAAGTAACACACGATGCGAGTCCTAAAGGAGCACACAAGCAAATGTGGATGTTTACCCATTGGTTTGATTTTGTGAAATTGGGGGACAACCTTCGTCATCATTGTCACGACTTTGAAGATATCATGTCTGCTTACAACGCGTTTTACGTGGGTGGATCATCTTACAGCCAATGTATTATTCGGTTGGTTACTGACATCGAGGCTATGACAGAATTTAAACACTCTTCAAAATGGTATCGCTTACACCATAAAAACCGAGGTATTCTTAGAGATTCAGCTAGTCTCCATAACCATGGCTTGTGACAGAGAGTGACCGTGTTGGATGCACATGTCTAAAAGGGGCAAGAAGACACGACGCCGTCGCGTGTTAAAAGTGCTTTGCCTTAGGCGTAAGATTCGTCAGCAAGCATCAAAACATGCACAAGATGTGGAAAGGTATCAGAAAGAAATTTAGGAGTTGAAATTACGGGAGAGACATCATATTCCGCGATGCCTTGCAATACATTTACCACCCCTATGGAAACGAACGATGTATTTACTATGCTAACTGGGATAAAGAAATAGCAGACGGCTTTCTTTCTGCATTTCATGAGTTAGATTATAGATAAGACAACCCACATGTAAAATCTAATGTAAAGTTTATTGTTATACAAATGGAGTACAATAAAAAAAAATGTTATGAATGTTTCTGTTGGGAATGGTAGCTAACCATGTACAATTCTCTAGATGTGGTGGTACCTCTTGAAAGGGGACAAAATTGAAACAGATAATGTTCATGACATTATAAACGTAATTAACATTCATAAAAAGATCAAATTGGTTTTAAAGGACCAAAATTTCATCCTCGGGATCTTCATTATCTAAAAAGGTCCATAGCGTAAATAAAAAGTTGTAGTAATCCATAAAGGGATACTCATTCTGAAAAAGTTGAAAAAAATCTAGCGTTACAAAAAGGATGATTGAGGAATACAATCAAGAAAAAAAAAAATGACATTATGAGTATCTCTGTGGTAATTGGTGGTTAACCATATATAATCCTCTAATATAGGTGGCGCTACATCTTTTTCATCATACTCGACGAAACCAAAACTTATTAAGGGTATAATATTATAAATATGGGTGACAATCATAAAAAACCTAAACTGATTAAAAAGGACACAAATTTCATCTTGGATATCATGCCACCATAATAAGGAATTTAATGTTTCAAAAAAATCCACAATGTCTTCCAGTGGAAATTCAGCCTAAAAATAAATTGTATAAAAAAATAATTTAATGGCTCAATTTAAGAAAGGGAAACACCATATAAATGAATAGGAAAAACTGCCCAAAAAGGTAAGTTCGAAGGTGGTAGCTATAAAACAGAAAATAATCCAACTTGCATAAATAAATTGCTATGACAGTACACTTGGTCTTAGCGTCTTGTTTCCAAGATACTTCCATGTATTCCTAATCTATGTCTAATGATCGTGTTTTCTAAGACAACATCAAAAAGAAATTGATAAAAAAAGGTGTGAGGAGATTGATGATGGGCTTAAAAAAACTCGTTTGAAATTCCCCTCAAAAGGATACTTTAATTACATAATATTACATTCTACATCTTCTAATGAGTAAAGCTTGACAAAGACTTAAGATCAAATTTTGAAAATAACCTCTATCTGTCACATAGAGTGCACATAAAGTAGACACGTAATCATGGGAACCGATCTGAAACACAAAAAAGATCCCTAATTAAAAAAAGATATAAATATAAAAAAACACACACACATTCTAAAATCCCAATGTAAATCAGTAAATCACTGTCTAGTCTTGTAAGAACATCTTTCATATCACCAATAAGTTGTAGTAAATAACTCGTCATATAGTCATTCTCAATGATGAAATAGGTGGCTTCAAAAAAGCAGTAGGCATCTAGAGATGAACAGAAAAAGGACGACTTAGTGCTCGAGTATAATCAATGGAATTATCAAAAATACGAATGTCGAAAAAACGTACTATAGAAAATGAAAATAGTAAATGAAGTAGATGCGATAGTTCACGAAACCGGCAGGTGAATAAAATCTTTACGACTGAAATTGAAAAAGTGGTTCGTTTTACTTCACGATTCGAAAACACCGCTTCGGAAAAAATTAGAACTTTTAAACATACTTGTTCAATCCTTGCTTCGAGAGCTCCTGGTTGTAACAACGCTTCTAAATCGCGGATCGCTTGTTGCCTTTGCTGTTCACGGAGTTCCATATCTGTTTGACGAAATGGATGTTCCGGTTCTGGGTTTGCTTTTGCGGTCATAGCTTACGCCTCATGGACAGCAAAAGGTTCTCTGCAAAGACCACACGTATTGGATGTATGAACGTGAGATTGATAACACTGTCGATGTACGCGCCTTTGGCAACATGGTGTGGCTGTAGCATTGTGCATATTGACGTTGATTCGCGTTAAACAGATCAAACAATCTCTCACGTGGCCATCATGGCGGTCAGACACGTCCGTATGGGCGGCACATTATTGTGTCTTTTATTCCTTGTCGTACTTCTACGAGAATTTCGTGAGTCATCAAACTGCAATTTTATGCATCCCGAACGCTGTACGCGACTGGTTATTTCACTCCACTTAACAACGTCAAGTGCTAACTACAAACTACCTTTCAAGCTCGCATCGAGGCGTTTTAATGGAGGAAGATTATTATACACTGCTACTGGTGTAGGTACATTTCAAGCGCAAAGATTGTTGATTTCTGGAGATGTTTCACCTAACCCTGGTCCGAGAAGGAAGCCTACGAAATATCCTTGTGGTGAATATTCTAAATCCGTAAGAAGCAATCAAGACGCCATTTTATGTTCTGAGTGCAACACCTGGTGGCATGCAAGAAGTCTGAATATGTCGAACTGGACCTTTCAGTACTATCTCAATAATCCATCTGTCGACTGGATATGCTCTTTCCGTGCCTTGCCGAAGTTTAGCGATTCATTCTTTTCCACCTTGAATAGTTCCACGCATGAAAGCGCGAGCGACACTGAGGTGGACCTTAGTTCACAACCTTCGGACATGAAGTTAATTAGAAACGAAAATCGCAAGGAATGCATTATAGCAAGCCTAAATGTAAACAGTTTACCAGGCAAATTTGAGGAGATCAAGGAGTGGCTAACGAACAGAGCCTTCGATATTCTATCCTATCCATACAGGAAACTAAGATCGATCGATCCTTTCCTAACTCTCAGTTTTATGTTAACGGGTACAAGTTATTTCGCTGTGACAGGACGAAAGGTGGTGGCGGTCTTGCCGTCTTTATTCGCGATAACATCGCCGCAACATGTAAGAAAGGCATTACAACATCAGTGGAATCACTCTTATTCGATCTACACATCGGACAGAGACACTTTGCTTTAGTCAGTGCCTACAAGCCTCCTTCTGTTAACAATGCTACTTTCAGAACTGAATTGACTACAGTCCTGGATCAAGCGATATCTCTCTGCGTAAACGTGATTTGTCTTGGTGATCTATATTGTGACATAATTCATCCGTTTCTGAATAATAACCAGGGCAAATGCCTTTTGGATATTTGCGATATCTATAACCTCGACACATTAATTAAAGAACCGACAAGGATTTCAACAACTAGAGCTTCTTGCCTGGACGTCATTCTTTCAAATGTGCCCATGTTTATGAAATCGTCTGGCGTTATCGAAACAGGAATCAGTGATCATCTGCTAGTTTACACGGTTCTCAAAACTAAAATGTTACATGCTAACGCGGAAGTCGTCAAGAGACGGATATTCAAGACCTTTAACCGAGATGATTTTCAGAAAGATCTCAGTCGAGTTCCTTTTCATGCTGCATACGTTTTTGATGATATAGACGATGTTTACTGGTGCTGGGAGACGTTATATAACCAGGTGTTAGATGACCACGCACCAATGTGATCTTTCAAACGACGATCTTCAGTAGAATCGATGTTTATCACTCCTGAAATTCGGGAGAAATGGTGGAACGAAAACGGCTTAAGAAAAAATTTAATAGATCACGTAATCAGTTTGATTAGGAGAGCTACCGTCTAGTGCGCAACAAAATAGTTAGCATGAGAAGAAAATCTCTACGTAGACATTTTGAGAAGCTGTGTTCGGAAAAATATGCAGATCAGAAGAAGTTTTGGTGTGCCATCAAGCCTTATGTTAATTCCCGAAAGAATGTAGACAATAGCGGAATAACATTAAAGGAGGGTGACAAAATCATCAGGAATCCTCAAGAGGTGACCGAGACATTAAATAATTTCTTCACAAGCTGTACTCAAAGTACCATAGAACCAAATCAAAACGGCTATCCAGTAGATTTATCGCACATATCAAATAACTTAATAAGCAGGCCGAATGTGTCGCTAAGCAACACTAATCCAACAGAAGTTTACGAGGTAATGAGGAAACTTGCTCCAAACAAGGCTTCTGTATGTTGGTTGGGAAAACACAAAGGAACTGATGAACCAGTGTTTAAGTGTGAGGAGTCACAACTTCCCATATCCAACACAATGGAACTTCTTGGCGTGACAATCGATGATAAATTAAATTTTGAAAAGCACATTGCTAAAATATGTAGAAAAGTCAGTCAGCAAGTCGCCGTATTAAAAAGGATGCAGAAAATGTTGTCTTTTGAGACTAGAAGGGATCTTTATAAAGCTTTCATTTTACCACACTCTAATTACTGCTCCGAAACGTGGCACTTCTGTAATAAAAAGTCAGCTGACAAGTTAGAGTTGGTGAACAAACGTGCGCTCCGTTTTGTTTTTAGAGATAAGTCCGCGCCTTATGAGGAACTTTGTAAGCGTATCGGTCTCTCAAGTCTTCGTGAACAGCGATTAGCGAAAATATTGTCCACTGTCTTTAAGATATTAGCCAGGTTAAGATCATGGAGATATGCTGCATCGAAATTATAGAACGCTTTACCGGACGAGTCTCGAAAGATACAAACATTTCCTACTTTTAAAAATTACTTAAAACATTAGATCTCACGTGAGTGCGGTGAGGATCTATCCTTGATTATATTTACTGTTTTTAATGATTACATTTTATACATTTTACTTGGTGACTACATTGTTAAATTCTTATATTTTAATATTAGCTAGTTCTTAATCTTAATTTATTTAAATTTATATACCTTCACAAGGCTTTATAATTTCCTTTTCTCTTTTTATTTCGTGGCGTACCTGTAAACTAGCTTTTAGCTAAGCTTTCTGACCACGTTAAATAAGGTGATTGATTGATTGAATCATACGGTCTGCCATCTGCTTCCACATCTTGACGTGCGAGTCTTCGAGATCGTCTTACAGGAGGCATCTAAAAAAGAAAACGACATTGTTAGGAAAAAGTCTAATGAAAAAAGTAACATACGTACCTTGGTCAAAAGTCTAGCAACAAAACGATACCGCTACGTTTCGTTGGACCATTTTATTGATGACCTTGAGTATACCGAAGGATCGAAATACACCAATCACAGATGGCGTCGTTTTAGAATTCACCAATCACCATGCGGGAAAACAGACCAATCAAATGACACAAAATTTAGAATATAACTCGCGCGCTCTTATCTTAAAAGTTGCAGAAGTCAAGTGAGAAGACAGACTGAAGACTGAAGATGGCGCAACAAGAAAACAAAACTTTGGAGGTCAGTATGATAGTGTCAAAACAAGACTGGCGCGGCAGGCAAGCAGCATTTTTAATACGTTACAAATGTTTTAATTTTTTAGGACCCTACCGCCCATATCTGTGCTGAGTGCCAGGACGACATGCTTGACTATGAAAGAATTCTTGGAGCGCAAACCGAACAAAAAATTCACCGGACTCGAGTTTTTTTCAAGCTCCTAAAACTAGTTAAAAAGGGAAACCTTAAAACCGAAATTGAATTGGTCAAGGAATACGTAAAAAATCCAGAAGATTTATAACATGAATCGTGTAAAGGACAGTAGAAACTTTTGTAAATAAAATACGAGTAAAACTTATATTTGTGTCATGTCTTGTTAGATGTAGATTTATTCGATGATGGCAAAAAGAAAGTATGATGATGTGGAGGAAGAGGATAGTATCTCGGATGACCTATTAAATCAAAATTATGATAAACTTGAAAAACAACAGTATGGTGGGGAAATATCTAACGATCAACTCAATGAATTGTATGATCAATAAGACCAACAACAATTGGATGCCCTCAATATAGGCGTACCCTACGGGGAGAATTGCACGACCAACTCTCTGAACTTTCTCACCCAGCTCAACGAGGACGAATATGGCGACCCACGCGAGGTGATATGTATTTTCCATAATTTAAAGGGGTACGATTCTATGTTTCTACAGCATCAGTTGGTAAAGGATGAAAGAAAAATCGAGGACATCATCACCATAGTTACTAAATGGTTATCCTTCAAAGTGGGTCAAATCACATTCAAAGATTCGTTCAGCTTCCTCCCGATGTCACTCTCAGCCTTTACCAGTACCTTTGGTCTCACGGAACTCAAGAAAGGTTTCTTTCCTCACCTGTTCCACACACCCGACCATCAAGACTATGTGGGAGCCCTGCCAGCAGCCTCCTATTACGACCCAGAAAGTATGTCCAATTCTAAAAAAAAAGAATTTCAAGTCTGGTATGAAGAACAAGTGAAAAAGTAAGACCCATTTGATCTCAAGCAAAAACTCATAGCCTACTGCCTATCAGATGTCGCCCTTCTTAAAGCCAGTTGTCTTAAATTTGTAAATGAATTCCAGTCCGCGTCAGGGTTTGATCCGATGGAAAAATGTGCCACGATTACGTCAGCATGCAACGGATATTGGCGTAAAAAACATCTTTCCAAGGACACTGTGGCCGTTGAACCTGTAAGAGGATGGCATGGGGCACAAGTCGATCAATAAGAAGTTGCATTACAATGGTTGATGTGGCAGGAACATCAGCTTGGATCAGACAGCCCACGTATCCAACATGTTCGTAATGGTGGGGAGAAGTTGATGCCCGCAGGGCCCGAGGCATACCGTGTCGATGGTTTTGATGGCCACACAAACACTGTTTGTTTCACGGGTGCAGACGTTGTCATAAAGACCGCAAGAAAATGGCGTTTTCATCAGGCAGCTACACGATGGAAGCCTTGTGTCAGCAGACGGAAGACAAATGTCAGACACTCCGACAGATGGGGTATAAAGTGGTTCAAATCTGGGAATTTCAATGGAAGGAGCAGAAAAAGGCCTCAAAGAAAATTCAAGATTTTCTCAAGGAAATCAATCTTGCACCACTGCTCAATCCGAGAGATACGTTCTTTGGAGGTCGAACTGGGGCTGCGTCGCTTTAATACAAGGCCAACACAGATGAAGGCGAGCAAATCAGATACGTCGACGTCACCTCAGAATATCCCTATGTAAACAAATACGGCACCTACCCCATGGGTCACCCCGAAATCTTTTTGGAACCAGACGACCAAGATCCAGCCTCCTACTACGGTATATTGACAGTCGACATTTTACCACTCTATAGTTTATACAATCCCGTGTTGCCCCTTCGACATGGAAAAAAACTGACGTTTCCATTATGTCAAAAATGTGTGGAAGATGAAAGTGCCAAACCGATGATGGGAAGAAATTATTATTGTAGTCATGGTGTGGAGGATCGCATGCTCACCGGTACTTGGTGTACGTCCGAAATCATGAAAGCTGTCGAAAAAGGGTATCAGGTTCTTGGCATACACGAAGCATGGCATTTCCCACCAGACCAAAGAAAGCAAGGTCTTTTTGCCCCGTACGTAGACACCTGGTTGAAGATAAAACAAGAAAGTAGTGGTTACCCCAGCTGGGCACAAACGGACGCGCAAAAAGAAGATTATGTTAAAAATTACAAGGCAAGAGAAGGGATAGACTTAGACCCCCAGCACATCAAGAAAAATCCAGGAAGAAAGGCCACTGCCAAACTGATGCTGAACTCCTTTTGGGGAAAGTTTGGCGAACAAATGAACAAGATGAAAACGATGCAAATCACAGAACCACACGAGCTGATTGATCATTTAAACGACACGACGATTGAAATATCAGACATACGCATTTTGAGTGCTGATGTGATTGAATTGACGTATAAGAAGATAGAAGAGGATGCAGTAAAGAACTATGGGTATGCGACGAAACATGGGAAAATCGTCTGTAAAGTTCGTGGCTTTTCCCTAAACGTGCGTGGTGCCAAACAGCTTAATTATCAGGTCATGAGGCAAAATATTATGGATGAAATTTTAGACCCGCAAGACGAAAGAAGAGACACTGACATTGTGAACCCGAGACATTTTAAGCGTGATCCAATTACCAAGAAGATTAAGACAGAAACACAAGTCAAAAAATATGGTTTGGTATTTGACAAGCGGGTACTTCATGTAGGAACATTTAAATCGTATCCCTACGGATATGCCCAGTTTACAGGATTCGATGCACAAGACATTTTAAACATTGAAACACTTATATGAGAGACATTCAAGCTAAGAGACTTTTTACTATTTTTAAATAAAACAGTTTAAATTGTTACAATTTAAATCACATGTCTGTGTCATCCTTACAAGCGTTTCATACCCTCTGTGATATTATCTATCCATTTTCGAAGAAAGGCTGTTCTTTGATCTACCCTGCGAATCATTTCTTGTAGTTCCTTTTCAATATTGCCTTGTCACTCGTGACGTGAAGGACATTTGCAAGTAAGTGGATGGAATGGACATTTTCCTCCTCTGTCCTTTTCCTGGGCGGCGGCATCCATGCGTTAACGTACGCGTCTAAAATGAAGTGTGACGATAGAAGCGCCGTCTGTAAACTGAGCCAAATTATTATTTTCCGACTCACTTATCTGTGTTTCCACCACATCGATGTGATTCTTACGTAACTTGATGTAATGAATCTGCTTGGGTTCGTAATAATAATTTCCTTCCAAGATTGGTTGGTAGTGTATTTGACGTATAAGATCAGTCGTCTGATCTCCCACGCGTACTGGAGCACAAAGCGAGGAATACATATACAAGGTTCGTGGGTAAGGTAGATTTAAGTAGGTACTTCTCTTAGTATTGATAAAGGTCCAGTTCAGATTGCTGAGAAGAAATCTATGATATTTCTCCGCAAATCGGTCTTTCCATGGGATCTCATATCTGTAATACGCCAAACTGGATGTAGTAAGCCTCCTATCATAACTCCACACCGAACCACGTTTGGTCACTGAGATTATGCGCCGGTCGTGATACATTACAATTCTCTTCAATAGGACCACTAACAATACGACGATAACGCACTGTTGTTTTTTTCGTCCAACCAAACAACTCACACATGTCTCGAGGTAACTCAAAATAGAGACCGTCACGAGCTTCTTGATGAGTTATATCAGTCGATTTTACCTTGTCTGCTGTCACAGTAATCGTTTCTTTATCTTCATCCGCAATCACTTCAAATTGTGCGCTGTGTCCTGAAGAAAAATGACTCCCAAACGCCGAGCCCATATTCATAATACATTTTAAACGTTCTTCATCAAACAAGGATTTGAATAAATCGAGAACTGTCTCGATACGATGTTGTTTGATGTCTCCATACGTGACATTGTAAGTCACTTTATGTTGTGTATCCCCAGTGGCCACTTTAATTCGTCCTGTGGTTAGCAAGACATTATCGTCTTTTAATCCTTTGAGGTAACTGGACACCTTAGAATCGTGTGGAAGCGAAATACTACTCAATCCCACTTCCCACTCTCCTTCTAAATCGATGCGTTTGTCTAATCGATTTTTCCAAGAATTGTTTTTGTTGTCTGGAAAATATTTCAGACTCCCATCGTTACAGGGTAACGTCAAGTAAAAAAGTATTACCTGACATGATGTGCTCTCGATAACGACACAACTACAAATGAACCGGAGACACACACTGTGTTGCATTTTCACAAGTTTTATTTCATCATTGTAGAGGTGTTACAATTTTGTTTTAAGTTTAGCTCGCATGATTCGCTTCACAATTTGCTCGGTTAAACTCTTCTTGCCTGGAAACTTATCGATTCCGGCTACCATCTTACGATCGGCAATATGTTTGTCAGTGAGTGATTTAGCTTTACTGTAATCAATATCGTGCTGTTTGGCTAATCTATCAAGACGATTAATTCCTGGATCACCACGTTTTAAAAGAGGTTGTCAGTAATTTTCGAGAATCCGGCGATAGAAGCAAAAATTCATCTTTTTTTTTATTTGCTCCAAAAGACCCTTTTGGTGAATCGTTTTCAAATATAATATTCAAAAGTTCCAGCGAGTTTTTTATTTTGGAAAAAAATACGAAAGTTCGAAATCGGCCAGAACGTACCTAATTTGCATAATTTCTATTGGGCTTTTAGTGCATTTTCACAACGCTCGCACAAGACAACGAAAATTATCTTGGATTCATTTTTTCATATGTTGTTTTTCATCCCTTGGAGTAGCTTTACAACTATATTTCATCTCCAACTGAACTTTCTTTCGTTTGTAACCACCCGCGTAAAGTACACTATATTTTCTATTCCGTTTGTACGCTGAATTTTGCTATAATTCAAACGACCATAAGATAGGGGATATACAAATGTACATAAAATAAAAGAGCTCTTTTCAATGAGAAATTCTTCGTGTTTATCATGTAAAAATATTATTTTTGGCCCGCTAAAGGCGAGCGCGCCAGACGAAAATATATAACGTGCATTTTCACGGAGTTAGGCCATTTTCTTGCTGTACTCCTACTGCAAATCGCACACTCTTGGGACAAAACTCGACGTGTTTGGTCCCTACTTCAGTTTTGATTCATTTAAATATATCAATTTTAACTTAAAAATTAACCTTTCTTTATTGTTAAGTAAACAAACGACCGTTTTAGGTAAAGTTTTTGAGCTGATTTTTCTCGAGTGGTAAATAAACAAATCGCTGTTTACAAAGATACCAGCTCTGTCGACGTGTTTTTAGCTGAAAAATCGATGGGAAAATCGTAGTGTTTCTTTCTTCTGTCGTTTATTACTTTAAAGATTTGCTAAAATCAGGAAATAGGGCCCTTGTACAAAAACAAAACATTCATTAGTCTACAATTTGATTGTTTATTATCATTATCGTACAGTTCACAATAAGGAAACTGTAACAGGAGAGGAGTTTTTAAATTCACATATCGAGTGCTTGTTGACGTACAAGTTCCCGAGTGTAACAATTTCGGCTTTTCCAAAACGCGGATGACGGGAAACTCTGCCCCCCTTTATTTGATAGAAAATATCAATAGCTCCATAACATTCATTAACTGCGCCATGTTTCCAGAAAATAAGAATGGAAAATGGTTTTCCACTTTCCACTATCAAGAAATTCCACGTAGAAATAGTATTTGAAGCGTGACTGCGTGACCTTTCAAGAGAAGTAAAAATTGTTTTTCATTTTTTTTTTTAAGAAGACACCTCCAGAAAGTTCTTTATCCTTCTGTCATCTTATTTGCCTGTTTTTTGACTGCAAATATCATCTGCATTTGCCATTATTTTCGCTGATTGTCATGGCCTTTCCTGCGTGCACGTGCGAGCAAGTTCATATACAGCACTCTTTCCAGTTTCTTTGCGTGGTGTCGGGCATGAGTGTGTAGGTCTGGCTCAAAAGATATCTGCGCGCTGCAACACGGGTTTCTATGTTTTCTCCTTTTTCTTTATTTGTATTTTTACTCTCCTCCTTGCATTATCACACATATATGGTTTTTTTCCCTCGGCGCGTTCCCTTAGATTTGGAAGTAGGCTATGAAAAGTCAATATTGACCAGAACTGAAACATTTTTCATCACTATTTGTTTCAGAGAGCCCCTGTTATTTATAACTTTATTTCTCAAGAGAATGTTTTTATTTGCCATTTACTTCCATTAGTACATGAAACTAGGTCCCGATAAGCTTTTTTGTTTCGTGACTCCCAAAAGCTGTGTTTGCGACAACATCAGTTGAGAAATCAAAAGCAATTACACCCGAGAAATTCGCTTGAAGCCTTCTACGCGCAGAAGGCAAATCCATGTAATGAAGCTTTCGAAGACCTCTGTAAACTAGAGACATTACATGACGTCGAGGGGTCAAATATTTACACTAAATCTGTGACCCTCAAACAGATCACGTACTCGTACATGTAACGTCCGAAAAATGTCACGCATGTATAGGCGCTCCTGGCGAATTATATCCGCTGGCTTCAATAGTAAAGAGACTACTTATTTACTATTTGTATACGAGAAAGCTGATTTACCCTACTTGTAAAACTCCTTGATGAAGTCTACTATTGTCAGACGAAATGTGTGGGAGATAAATACAAGTTTTACTTTCTCAGTTCGTGCAGTGATGCTCACTAGTTTGTTTCAAAAACGCTTTTAATGTGAAGTCACGTCGACCTCGACAGAAAAATTAAGCTCACCCTGTCATAATCGATGGCTTGATACCGTAAGTACCAATTTAGGTACATCATTGGGCTTTGATCACAATAATGAAAAAAAATGTGTGTTTCCCCACGCTCGCCACATTTATTCTTTGGAAAATTATTTTACTGGAGGGCGATGTCGCTTAGCTTGGTGCGTCTTGACTCTGGCCGACGAAAATTATCGAGGTGAACCCCATGAAATTCTTGTCAAATGTTTTATAAACTTTGTCTACCCTTGATTTGCACGCAAAAAAAAGCAAATTCCGAACAATATTTCAAAATATTTTATTCACTAGTCAATTTATGACCTGTTTTATAACAGCCCGAGGAGAAAGCAAAATTGTTTGTAAGGAGTTTGTAAGTTCATTTTTCCCAGTAAATTTAAGAGAGGGACAATTTTTTGTAACATCTCTGAAACGTCTCTGAAACTCTTAAAGAATTTAAACTTCCGGTAATATTTTCCTCCCTTTCGCAACAGCGCAACAGACATTGTTAATCCTATGTAGTATAAGTGTATCAGTTGTATTACGTCTTCATAGTGATGCCGTATAAGAAATCGAGTGTCTAAAAAGCATCTCAATTCTCGCGCTGGCCAGGGACGGCAACAGCTCACACCTCTGAACTCGTGGGTGTACAGCATAAAAAAAAAACGTTTGAGAGACGTCAATGTATCCCAAACATGCGTTTCGTCCGAGAAGAAGCTTATTCTAGCGCGTATTGGCTTATTTGGAGATTACGAAGGCCGCGATTTCACGATATGCCTCAAATATCGTACACAACTTGGCATGAGATTCAGACCTTCGGGTTTGTAAATGCCAGTATCCTCGTCATAAAAATCGGAGACGTAAAGTTGAGAGAAGTGAATCTGAAGATGGCAGAAAGAATTAAAGCTGGTGGCGAGTCTTCCTGGTGGCAAGGTGACTGTAGAACGCATACTGTAACTGCTATCTTAGAGTCAGGGATAAATAAGGAAGAAGGGCAAGAAGAGCGCTTATCTGAACATCAGTTTTCCTTACTAATGATTTGTGACTGAAATGAACTTTATATCATATGATTGCTAGGGATACGCAGGTACTGTAGAGACGCTCACATAAATAGAGGTGGGCGATCCTTCCTCTGACTTTACAACTGCGACAAGTTTATAGCGCAGACCAACTGGCACAGTTTGGAGCCCCTCAGGGTCTCACTAGGCTCATCACATTAGAAACCTTCAGTAAACTAATCGTAGAAGTGGGTGGTTATCAGCAACGTGCACAGATCCCTGAACGCGGGTCATCGCGAGAACTATATCCAATCCGTTACAGACAGAACAAGAAAGCGAGATTTTTTTTTCCCTCTTGCTGAGAGGAAGGATGTATCAAGACGTTTCAGTCATTGGCTGCTATCCAGAGCACCCTAACAAAGGCAAACACGGTGAAGCTGACAAAAAAATCCGACTATGATAAGATCAAGAGAAAATGGACGAAGACCGGCTTGCCATTTTAAAGGGGGTTGCTACGTTCAAGGTCGGACCTCAGGTAAATTTCAGACGAAACATCACTAACTAGCCAAATGGACTTTGCATGGGCTCTTTGGAAAACACAAAAACCGGCCAACTTTTCTCAGAAAGAAAAGAATTATCTCCTTGACATGAGCTGGACAGGGGAGGAAACTAGTAAGGCAACCGCCTTTAACAAGGCAGAAGATAAGGAGCAACCTTGCAAATTTAGACGAAGACTGCAGGCGAGGGTACAGCTGCTATTAAGCTAAAAAAAAAAATAAAGATCTTTGCATCTCACTTTTCAAAGTTGTCAGATATTTGGATGAATCAAAAAGTCAAAAAACTCAGTTGCTTATTTGCCTCTGTTGATTGACAAGCCGTCAATCAAATTGACTGATACTTGAGGTGGACATTAACTAAGGATCAAGAAAAACCGGGGGGGTGGTCTATATCCCCCCGGAAAAAACCAAAATAGAAACCAGTTTGTCTTTTTTAGTTTTGGGGTAGATCCTTTAACCTGGCAAAGTTTCGTTGAAATCGGTGAGATGGAATGTAGCACGACTGCCCGGTGCTACATGCCATTTTTCTCGGATTTCTTCGACAATTTTTACCAAAAGAATTCCAACCTACAGTCGATTTGAAAATGTATCTAAACAGGTGGACTATACAAACATACTATTTTAATTACAGTGACAGTGGCAGAAATCTATAGAAGCAACCGAGCAAAACACCGAATGTACACACATGGTTCATGCACAATTAAGCGAGTATTTTCATTCGACAACTACATGTTTCGAATATTGTATGTGTGCGAATATTTTATTTAAATCACGCTCACGTATTTACAACAACATTTATAGTTACATGTAATTTACTCTAAAGTTATGCCAGTGGGATAGATTGTAAATTAATGAACAATATATGCGACCGGCCAATTTCAGCTAAAAACACGTCGACAGAGCTGGTATCTTTGTAAACAGCCATTTGTTTGTTTACCACTCGAGAAAAATCAACTCAAAAACTTTACCCAAAACGGTCGTTTGTTTACTTAACAATAAAGGTAGGCTAATTTTTAAGTTAAAATTGATATATTTAGATGAATCAAAACTGAAGTAGAGACCAAACACGTCGAGTTTTGTCCCAATAGCGTGCGTTTGCAGTAGGAGTACAGCAAGAAAATGGCCTAACTCCGTGAAAATGCACGTTATATATTTTCGTCTGGCGCGCTCGCCTTTCACGGGCCAAAAATAATATTTTTACATGATAAACACGAAGAATTTTTCGTTGAAAAGAGCTCTTTTATTTTATATACATTTGTATATCCCCGATGTTATGGTCGTCTGAAATATAGCAAAATTCAGCGTACAAACGGAATAGAAAATATAGTATACTTTACGCGAGTGGTTACAAACGAAAGAAAGTTCAGTTGGAGAAGAAATATAGTTGCAAAGCTACTCCAAGGGATGAAAAACAACTTATGAAAAAATGAATCCAAGATAATTCTTCGTTGTCTTGTGCGAGCGTTGTGAAAATGCACTAAAAGCCCAATAGAAATTATGCAAATTAGGTACGTTTTGGCCGATTTCGAACTTTCGTATTTTTTTTCCAAAATAAAAACTCGCTGGAACTTTTGAATATTATATTTGAAAACGATTCACCAAGAGGGTCTTTTGGAGCAAATAAAAAAAAAGTTGAATTTTTGCTTCTGTCGCCGGATTCTCTTTGGTATCCAGGCCAATGAAGCTCGACACCTAACTTTGAAATCCATTTCTGAATATCAAATTCTCCTCCACTCTATCGTTTCCTTTTAGCCTTAGCTTGGACGGTTCTTGCCCCTCCCTTTGCCTATCCTCGACTTTGGCGTTTCATCATCTTCAAACGCTTGATGTGGGTCGTAACTTCTCTTTTCCCATGGTTCCCAGTTACCAAATTCTTTGAGTCGTTCCAACTCCGTGCGATGTTTTTGCGGTGTGGGAACAGGAAGTTTTCGTTTCGTTTTTTGTATCTTTTGGGATGGAGCTGTGAGAAAAGGAATCTTGGACGTTCCCGGTTTCGCAGGGGTGACGGTTTCGTTCTTGATCCCCGCAGGTGTGACAGGTTCCCTCTTGGGTGTCATCTGAGGTACGGCGGCTTGTCCCCTCATATTTATGGATTTAATGAGTTATTTTAACAATCCCTCTTGCAACCCCTCCATGAGATTACCCTCATCGTCTCGAGGTAGAGGTTCTACACCACCAGCGATAGGAATCTGTCTCAATTTTTCAGTAAGCTTGCGTTCTTGCATCAACAATTCTTTTACCACAGGTTCTTTTAAAGAAGCAAGAGTAGATGTATCTTCTAATAACAGTTTTGCTTTGGCGGCCACGCGTGTGGCTTTGTCCAGAAGAGTACTTTCAGTAATTTTTCCCTTGTAATAATCTACCAAAGCTCGAAACTCATCGGGTTTCACCATTAAGAACGTCTCCATAATCGCCACAAGGGTTCCACCACAAGTATACGCAACCACCGAAACAGTTGAGTATTGTGAGTCTACACTCGGTTGAATCCTTATAGTCACTGTCGTCGTCGTCGTAGTTGAATTGCAAATCAAACTCTATACCCGTGTCCACTTCGTTTATACCCTCTTGCACGGTGACAGTCATGATCTTTTGAAACACTGAGAGAACGCGTCGTTCATACCACTCCAAAAGCCACCGCCTGTTTGATTCACAAGTAATTGACGCCGCTTTCTTAAAGAGTTCCTCCGTTTACCCAACTCTCTCAACATCACTCTATATTTCTTGAGTTTGGCAACGGTAGGCGGTGATAAAGGTATCTTTTTCTTCGACATGTTCAACGTGAATTCACTGACGACATTGATTTGATCTTTACTAGCGTGAAGTAATTTTTCCATACGACGCTTTCTATTTTTCTCTTGTAAAATAGATTTTAAAAAATCCACATTTCTCTTGAATCTATTTATCATCGCTTTTTCTTTGTAAGAGCGTCTAAGCCTTTTTTAGCCCCAAACGATGCAGCTCCTCCAAGGGCACTTAAACCCAATGCTTCACCTCCAGCAATGAGGGCTGGAATGAGTGCCGCTAATGGTAGGATACCTGCTTTTTGTCCTCTTTTGGTTAGTTTCTTTTCACTCTTCTTCTCCATCGGGTTGTGGGCATACTGCGCTTATAACCAGGCATCTTTCTTATTTATTTCTCTCTGTAACAGCGTACACACCCTTCGTGTTGTAACAAATGACTTAAAAGTCTCGTAGAATCTCTACTTGCAGGGTGTACGTCAAATAATAAATAACCATAGGGTCTGTCCATACATGCATTATATATATCCATAACAGGTAGCCACTTGGTCGGGTATATCTGTAGCAGTAAGGTGTGCAATGCCACTTTATCTCTAGGATTTTTAAAGGCAATAATGTATTGCGCATTCCTGGAGATGGTCTTGGCATATTTTCCTTGAGGTAACATGTCTTGGCAGAGATAACACACGGTGACATTCATGTGGTGAGAATATTGTGTGAAAAGATTAAGTATTTCTCTGTCATCTCCTCCCTCCGACAGGAGATCATCCAAGACAAGAATACCCCCTCGTTTATCTCCAAATCATGTTATTAAATCGTCGTGGGTAGGCACTCCTTTAAAAAATTCTATGCCATGGCATTGCATGTCGTCAAACTTATTTTGCCAGGATCCATAACAGTAATGCACGCGGGGCGATCTTTCGTCAAAGAGGTCTAAATTTTCTAAAAGCAGGTCATGGAGAAAGGTGGTTTTTCCACAACTTGTAGGGCCCACAATCAAAATATTGGAAGGGGATTTGAACGAGAATCCTGGTTCCACACACTTGAACATGATTGCTAAAAGCGAGTTACACAAAAATGACACGATTTTATTTGATTCCTTTTATTTTATTAACGATTGAATGATGTCCTCTAACATGTCGCCTACTTTATCATCGTTGCCTACATAATCCTTTTTGAAAACATGGAAAAAAACTCATCCATACTCATACGTCTTGCTTTACACATTAAATAAATCATGGCATAATTTCCACAACTTGCGGTTTTTACAGATTGTATACTCGAGTATTTTTACGCACGTAAGGACATCGGCTTAACCATACAATGAATGGTGTCAGAAATTCATAGGTGGTTAAATCTAAACCATAACTATCTAAAATTTTACAGCTATCATGTTCGGTCCACACAGCTATCCAGTGTTCCCCAGGTTTGTCTGCAGGGTGGGTATTGACAATGTAAGCTCTCGGTTTCACACGTTCAGGCGACTCGGGTAGTTCGTCACAGGCTAAAGCACTCACAAAGTACTTGCGGAGTTCTGGATCGCTATCCGCTAAAGCGTTGAGTTGATTTGTAGTAAGCCACACAAACTCCATCACACACTTCCATGGTGGTAGCTCCTTTAATGCCATCAATTTCCATAATGCTTTCATATTCAGCATAAACGGTCACCTTTTTCTGACTTGCTTGCCCTGCACAATTAATGTGAATGTTGATGAAGCCTTCATTTTTAGGTAGAAGAACCGGCTCATCGTGTCTTCTATTGGCCACATTGGAAAACGCAAACAGCGTGCAATTTTTTCCATGACCCCAGTCTTTGAATCGCACCATGTTTCCTGCATTTCTGTACAGACAGCCAGTAGCATTCAGAAATCGGTGATAACCCACCAAGTATTTTTAACCATTAGCCGTGTTGAGTTCCAAAGTCTCGTAAGGGTATTCTTCTCCATTCACAATTTTTCTGATGTATTCCACCCAAAATTTTCCAAAGGCCAAGGGGTCTTCGTTGTATTGACCATTGAATGCAGTAGTTTTCAGAATACCAATGATGGCTCCTTGGGGCACCTTTCCATCGAATGGGTGGTTGATTTCTTTAGAAGTGGCCCCATTGTCTAGGGGAAACGGATCATGGAATACTTGGTTGGGGATTTGGTCATCATACTCATCATGCTCATGTAGACGGCTGGGTTTAGGGACACAAGACAGAGAAAGAAGGTAAGTTTAATATCCTCTGGGTTGACTCGGACTTCGTTATCGGGTGGATTGGCTTCTCTATTCATGAACAAAGCTGCTGGATTCAGATAAAATTCCAATTCCAAAAGAGTTTTGGGGACGATCCATTTTCCTTGGTGAAACGCGTTTATAAACGGTTTCATTCTCAAGATTCTCCTCTTTCCTCCTGTATAGTAATCTCTTGCATCTGCTCTCTGTTTCTTGATGCTGTCTTGATGATTTGTAGAAAGAGCTGTATACGCGGCATCATCCATCTTGACATTTGCAGCGGTGTAGGTTACAGGAGAATCAATTCGTTCCGCCATCCAGCTGGTTCGAGTATCGTCTCTCCATCATTGCTGTCATAATTAAGGATCGTCTGTATGAAAGCTTTACGATGGTACATGTCTACTTGTTCGGTGAGTAGGGTGCCATTGGCTCTGAAATTGATTTGCTTGAAGAGGGTGTGTGCAATATTGTTGGCTGGTGAAGTCATCACACCCACATTGTTTGCGCGTGCTGTGAGATTGGCATTTTCTGTGGTTTTGAAACCCAAATCCAGTTGGACAAAACTTCTCGAAAGATCGATGAGGTTTCATCCTCAGCGTATGCCTTCTTTGTGCTACAAAAGGAACTAGGGCATCTTTCTGTGCTTTTAAAGTATCTTTGTTTTGCTGGGATAGGGCTGCGCGCTGAGCACCATCATTTTTGATGTTCGCAGCTGTGTATTGGCTTACCACATCGATGTGGTTATACCATCCTTGAGGAACTAAGATCGTTTCACCGTCTTGTCTGTTGTTGTTTAATGGAGTTTCCATATACGCTTTGTAATGGTAGGTGTCTGTTTGTTCGCTGATCAGAGTTCCATTCAATCTCATGTTGATTTGTTTGAAGATGGAATGAGCAAAATTGTTCACGGCACATTCCTACTCTGCATAGCTTTCCAGTGTGCGATTAGATCCAAGTCTGTACGATTTTTTCTCTTTCAAAGCCAAGTCTTTATTCCAACTCATGAAAATGTAAGGATGTTCTGGTTCTCGTAATTTGGAGAGTTTTTGTTGTCTATGACCAGCTCGTCTCCTTCCCAATTGAAGTGAAAATTCCCTTGGGCTTCTGGTCAGTATTTAACGTAGTCTGACTTTCTTTTAGTCTGGTATTATTTCCTGGACCTTCATCATAATTCGTTCTTCGTTGCATGACAAGTTCTTCGTACTTGCTTATCACCACTCTCATAAAGCTAATTCCATCCGTGATGACATTTGAATGTTTGATATCGTCGTACTTCACATGCGATATGAAATTGTTTATTCCAAGAAACGCGCCTCTCAATAGTTTGATCGCGCAAGTGACGGTCAAAATGGCTGTATTGTTTTTAGGTACTTCCACGTTGTCTCCAATGTAATTTCTGACAGTTTTTAGTTCAGACGTGTTCATGTCTTTCAATATACTCATTTCCAGGTACGTGTCGGGTAGAGTGATGCTACTCAATCCCACTTCCCATTTTCCATTCAATTCCAATCGGTAAGGTAGACGAATATTGTAACGGGACGTTTTATTGTTGGGAAATTCCGATTTGCTACTACTGCTAGGTAATGTCACCACGATTCCGCTTGTGGCCATATTGCTTGCAATGAAGAGTCACGGTGGTTTTACCCGTTTCAAAGGTAGCGTGTTCGCCGTTTTCTTTGCGAAGATCCACTTCGATTATGTCGAAAAATTGTTGACACACTGGAATATATTGGATGTGTGAGGGTTCGTAATATTTCGTCGAGGGTACATATTGTATTTCTAGCAAGACATGTATGATTTGATTTCCCACAATTGTGCCACCAGCCACATTCGATTCGACACGCAACGTTCTTTCGCTACCGTGTTTGTGAGGAATATTCCATCCCATCATGTTCTCGAACAAGAAATTCGGCAAATACGCTGAGATAAAGAAACTCAACGTCCACTTTCCAATACTTTCCTTGGTAATCCTGAGGTCTCTCTGCCGGTTTTTTCCAGAGACATCATTTGTAAATTATTGTGTTGAAGTAAGTATTCATCATTCAAAGCATCGTATCGAATCTAGTCCATGGCCAAGGCCAATTCTGTACCGAATCGAATACTAGATCGTGCATCATTGCATTTCCAAATACATTCTTGTCTTCTCGCCATGTATGAATGTTGTCGATGATCAAATCCTCTCCTTCCCACTTGAATGTAATGTATCCTCTTCCTTCGAGTAAGACCTTATCGAAATCTAACTCGTGAGGTTCATCAGCTCTTTTGTCGTATTTTTTAATCATGAAATCCGCATCGTGTCTTTTGGTCTCGGATATAAATCCCCCATAATAATCTACCAGGAATTTCATGAATTCCACTTCACTTTGGAAAGTGCGTCCCGTTTCCACGAATCGAGTCCAAGTCAGGTATATGGAATTGGACAGGGTTATTTTTCCAATATCGCTTTGATCGTTATAGGTGATTTCCATACTAATGCCTCCCCAGAAGATATGTGTTCCCTCTTCTCCAAATTTGTCGTAGGAAAATCTTCTCGGACGGCTTAGAGCATAACTCACATTAGCCAATCCCACTCTTCATCCTCGTTCTTTCATGTAGATGGGATAAGGTAAACGATTCTTGAAGCTGTACTGTGAATTCCGCGGAAACTCTTGCACGCACGCATCGCTCTCCAAGTGTAAGTAGAAATCCATCATAGCTTCTGAATGTCTTTCTTGTTCAACCAAGAATTATATTTCGGAGGGAGACCTTTCCAACTGACAATAACTTTATTGCCTTGGCGTTTAAGGACTTTTTCTATACGATGGAAAGCGTCTTCGGGTATTTGTACTTTTTGCAAGTCTTGTTCGCAAAAAGTACCTCGCACGGGCATATCATAGGTGTAGACCACTCCAGGTACCACATTTGACACAATAAACACCTCGTCAGTCCAACCTGGTAAATATCATTTTTTAAACATCCTGGATTTTTCGTTTAATCGAACTCTATCGTTGACTCGAAATCGGGGTTTCAATTTGCGTTGTTGTTTTAATTTTTTGCCGTGCAATGTATCCCACACATCACTAGCATTTTCCAAAGTCACCTCGGAGGGTTTCGTTCCTATACTTCGATGAAAGGATTCGTTGTATCCTCTGACCAACGCTTGTAAGACATTCAAGTACTTGTATGTATTGGCACTCGTGAAATAACGATACATTCTACTTTTCAAAGTGCGATTAAATCGTTCTACCACGCTGCCTTTTGTATCACCGGTCGTAGAAAAATGATGAATATCTTTATCTTTCATAAATTTTTGAAATGTGTGATTGTAAAATTCTTTCCATCATCCGTTTGCAATGTTTGTGGCGTTCTTCCTTCGGCGCGTTTCAAGATTTTTTTAAAAGCCTCGGTTATGGCTATTCCCGTTTTAGATTTTATGGGTTCTACCCAAGCGTGCTTTGAAAACGCATCCACAACTACCAAAATATAACGATTTCCAGTATTATGTTTGGCCAAAGGTTGCATTTCCACTAAATCTGCAACCAATTGCTCGTCTTTACCAAAAACCAATACGGGTAAGGTGGGAAATCTTCCGCATCGTCTCGGTCGATGGAGCGTGTAAGCCAAATCTTTTTCGAGAATCTTTTGAGCTTCGGCAGGTTTCAGACGATGTATACGAGCAAAACGCAACGCACCTCCCAAACTTCCCGGTTTTGTAGGATCTCCATAAGCTTCAAGTTTTATGAGCAACATAAGATTGATAAATGCACAATAATGTATAAGCGAATTAATGGGACTTTGCCGAATTATCTAAATGAACACTTAATTTTAAATAATAAGCGGCACTCCCGCAACACTAGATATTCAAGCACTAATGCTGTTTGTCCTAAATATAAAAGAGAAACAGAAGGAGGACGCTCTTTCGCTGTTTCGGCAACAAGACTGTGGAACAGTACACCAATTGAAATTAGGAAACTAAATTCTGTAGCATGTTTTAAAAAGAACATGTTTGCCAAGATTTTTAAGGAACAACAATTTTTGCATCATTTCATAATTTAATAATTTATTTTTATCTTATAATCGAATCCTGTCATATTTTATATTTTAACTGTATATATATATATTTTAGCTTACAGTATTTTAGATTGTAAATAGTTGTGAGGGCCACAAGTTTATTAGCCTTTGGTTATTAAGTGCCACCCTCTTTAAATAAAGGCTTTACTTACTTACTTACTTACTTACTAAGTAATTCTCTTTCTTTGTCACGTTTATTCTTTTTTCTATTCTTGGTGCGGGGTGCCATGACATAGGTTCAACAATAGGCGTATGAATGAAAAGATAGAAGTACAACGTTCTGCTTATATAGCCTTAATGTGTTTGAAATGAATCCAAGCATCTTCCGGGTAAGTATCATGCAACCATAGTAGAAAGACAATGAAGCGAAAGGGACTCGTGACCGTTCCGGCAAACGCTTTCGCAGGTGGATACATGTCTTCCTCTTCAAACACTATCCAATCTTCTGGGTTTTGTTTTTTAAAGTGACATCATGACTCGTCAAACATGTGACTTGTGCAAGTTTGGGCAAGTATCAAGAACATTATAGTTTTTCTACTCTAGGGAATTGGGCGCGTTTGGGCAAACAAACTGACATCATTACCAGTCAAACTAGTTTCAAACAAATACCAATATAACTTGACTCATTCACTCTCTTTCATCATTCATCATGAATCTTCCATGCACTTCCGTGGCTGAACAAATACATGAAAAAATTGCTAACATCAAAGAGACGCAAGAAGAACTGAAAAAGGAAGTAGACTCCCTAGTCTTGGAACACTTGAAACAACAACAACAAACTTCCAAGGCTCTAAATATACGAGAGAGTCTACAGACATTAACTCGTAAAGTGACACAGTTGGAAACAAGCTTAGAACAAGAGAAATCGAATGTAGACTACATGCTATCAGATTATTTGCAATCTTTAGAATCCATCATAGGACAACTCGAAGAAGAACAATTACATACAAAATCCAATTTGGAAAAAATATTAGGAGCACTGAAAGAGAAATAAGACAAATTGGAAAAAGAGTTTAAAGAATCTATAGAGAAACGTTGTATGGAAGCTGTGCAGTGGTGGATGAGTAAATAAACATGCATGCGTATCGTCTGTATTGTATGTGTTCCACGTGTTCCTTGGAAAGGAGTTACTTATGGGATCTGGAAAAAAAGGGCAAAAATCCGTTCCGAATTAGAGAAAGACACGAAGTGACATGAACTCTTAAAACTGTTTAAACAATTATCTCTTTCGGAAACAAAGAACACAACTGAGCTTATCTCTATATAAGGCTTTGTCCGATGCTAACTTGTATTAATCAAGTGCCTGAAGGTAAGACCCATTTCGTAGTCAAAATTCGCCCTTGCTTTTTCTCCTTGCTTTTTGTAACTTTCGCTTAGGTTTTTTCTTTCGCCCTTGCTTTTTGTAATAAACGTTTTTGTAATAAACATGTTGAAAATTTATTCTTTTGTGTGAGTTTTCATTGCTCATGCGCTTAAATGGAAAAAACTCTCCTATGGACTACATGGTTTTTTTACTGCGCTTTAAGATTCTTTATTGCGCTTAAGGGTTGAAAAATTCTCTCATGGCTTAAAAACTTTTCCTTAAATTGCAAAATGTGTGGTGTTTGACGAATTAGATGTTTTAAATCATATTTACGTTTTCTGCACATGCGCCTTGCCTAAAAAAGACTCCGACATGGATGACAAAATCCCCCTTAGACACATATATATAATCAACCACATAAATGCATATAATTGTCATCTAATGATGTCATGCAGGAACACGTCAATACATTAATGACGCCATGAATATATTACTAATGATGATGTCAGTCCCTTG